CGACATGAGTCGTCAGCGTGTCGGAATGGTCACGTTAAGGCAGCCGACAAAGGTCTCGAAGTGTGGCACAAAACAAATCCATGTACCGACATCGATTGGCTATCCGCGTGCTAATCGTGGAAAGAGTAACCTAATTGGACTGTTGTGCTTACGACTCCACAGGACAATCTAAGTGAGTGCTACACCTCAGTACCACACGTAGGACCAATGCACATTGCGCGAGTGTGGGAGCGCTACAGCGAGAGCTCCAACTACTTTGGCGGCATCGTGGCATTCACGCGCCAGCAGTTTGTTAAAGTCAATGGATTTCCCAATAACTTTTGGGGCTGGGGTGGAGAAGACAATGAGCTTTATAGTCGCGCGATGCGCAAGAAACTTATCGTCCAAACACCATCCAAGAACGTAGCGGGGGACATTTACATGGAGGGAATGGATGCGTGAAATATAAATGCACGCATCTCCACGGTTTGGAAGCTTGAATTCTTGCTTTTGGGATGTCCTGACAACTTACAGGAGCTTATTCGGCTTCTGTAGTTTATCAGAAGCATTATTATAAAAGACTTTGAGGTCTTGAATCACACCCACACTTTGTTTTTTGGTGCATTTATTAATTTCAGTCGAAAGTCACAAGTACATTTTTTTGCTTTGAAGCTGGATATCAATGGACAAATGTCTCCTGTTCATTGAATAAAAGTCCAGCTTGAGAGTCAGCTTACTGCTTTTGGACAGTCTTCACCGTATGTGTTTCTTGCAAATACACGCATGTTACTTAGCTACCTGCGGGTCTTTGATATGTGATTGTTTGATCCGACTCAATAGTGAGACCGCCCGTTTGAGCGTGGAGGGCGATCATCTTAAATTCTCCTGATGCCACTACCATCGAAACATTTTCCTCCAAAATGGGTATGGTTTCTAAAGGATTTACAAACAACTAACCGCCCATGCTGAGATGCACCTTCCTATGACAAGATTCGCCTTCGATTTTTTTGGTATTTCTCTTGCGCTCTTGAGCTGTCGATCATTCATCGCGCACGTTTATCATTTATTGGCCCGCGCGTGGCCTGATGTAATGGCCAATATTAGCCAATTAGCGGAGTGTAGCCAGCTTTCGTGGTAAACAAGCACCTGAGCTTTTATCCTCACTTTTATCCCTTTACATATCATTATTTCACAATGGTAACGAATAAGACAATACATTTACATTGACACCAATGACGGTGTCGGTGCTATGTAACGGTCTCGCCTCGTTTCAGCGTTACGTCAATACGACGGACCTTGTAATATGCTTGTAGACGATCAGATGTGACCGAGTGAGGCGGTCATTACGCGTATTTATATGACTGGGATACCGCTCTATCGTTTTGAATCCAGATGATTCCGCTCAAATGGAATATATACCGGCTGTGTAATAAATAGGATTTGTCGACTTTCCAATTTGCTAAGAACCGACCAAGTGACTTTCACTCCGGAACCTTTTAGCTTATGGTCTTTGCCGTCGTCTCGTCTTTGTGTCAACCGCCCCTTCTTCACTTCAACCAGAATTTAGCCGTCCTCAATCCCCCGGTCGTGGCTCGCCCACGTCCGAATCTCGTTGCGGACTAGCGTAAATCGTAACAGGAATAATATAATATGACCGTTCCACGTGGCACGTTCCAACTGACAAGTCTTTAGCCGATATTATGGAAGCTTGCGCGCGCCAAGCTTCTGCTCAAGAGCTTTGCCTTGTCGCGCTTCGGGAGGTCCAGTGTTCCCGTGTCGCCCCGGATGACAAGGTCGCCCTGACCATTCCTGCGCCGCGCATCGCCGGCGTGTTTGGAATCGAGGATATCTTTCACGCAATCAACCGTGAGCCCCAAACGGCTACCTGGAACCAGGTGGTCAACTTGCTCTGCAACTTTGTCTGCGTTCGCAATCACGGCATCCGCTTCACGTGCACCAAGCGTGACCTCGCTATCAAAGTGAGAGGCACGGCTGTGTCCTGTATGGAACAGAGCTCGTGGCCAAGCTCTACAGCGCCTACGAACGCATTTACTACGTCAAACTTACGCGGATTCTTTTACACCTGAAAGAGGACGTTCATTTATGACTACTTTGCCGGCTTAGGTCTTCTTCCGATCGTCGCTCCAAACAATCAAGCGGGTCCACCCATGTCAAGGGACCGCACGGTGTTGGACCCGAAGCACGATGTCCCTTCGGCTCTTATGGTTCCTAATGGCCAGCCGTTGCGGCAAATCGTCTTCCTCGGCTTTGTCGCTCCGGTCCACGTTCAGCACAAGAAGCGCTCCTTCAACAAGGTTGTGCCGCCTTCCATTGTCGCCCGGCGTGCGGCGAGAACGGCATCTGATTCTTTTTTTTGCCTCAGCGGCAGGTGAGGCTGCCCCGACGCCTCGTGCAGGCCGTCGTCGCCTCTCTCCATCTCTTGTCGTCTCTTCTTCTTCTCTCGTCCGCGATGGCACAACGATTATCGAACGGCCCGCTGCCTTCGCTTCAGTGCAGAAGTGTGGACAGGTCACTCGCCTAGTCCTTTGCCCGTCGTTGAACTCCCCTCTTGCGGCCACGGAGGTTGCCGTGACCTCTTCTGCGGCGACTGGCGGCCGCTTAGTAATTGGCTTCCCTGTGACGCCAAGTCATTCGTACTTGCTTTTAACGACCATGACTTTAAAGATCCGACCGCAGGTGATGCTGATTGCGTGGCGTACGAGGACACTCAGGTGGTCGCCTGTGTAGCCGAGCATATGTAGCGTAGCTAATTATGCACTATGTGCAGATGCACTATGTGCAGAAGAAATAGTCAGACTACTGTAGCAAAGCTACCTATGCACTATGTGCAGAGGAAGACAAACTCAGAGAGCTTCTACGTCTTAGGGTTCTTAACCCTCCTAGGATAGCTCGTAAGCTTGTGCCTATCGGTTGTTGTAACCGCGTCTCAACGAGACTAGTATCAATGATACGATTCCTCAGGAGGAATAGAAAGCTCAAGCAGTGATGCTTATAGAGCAGGTTTGAAACTGATTTATATGTATGTCTATCTTCTAACACTAAATATAGAAGCACCTACTCTATACTTAGTGCTAGTCACTATTTACTGGCTCTATAGCTGTTTATTTAATAACACGTTGTTCACCTGTTACTATTATGCAAACATGCATAGTCACTATACTTTAAATAAGTATAGTGACCACGTGGCTCTCTGCAACGATGTGACCCTTCGCATCACCTATTTTGTACCCAAGGTACAGCCACACCACATTAGTGTAGCAGGTGTGTATATAGAATACACACCTTCGTGTAACCCCGTTACACCCTCCCCCACCAATCCGTGGGATCTGACGTACCCACGAATTTTCGCACTTTATTAGTGGCATTGGTTTCATTTTCTTTTCATTTTGCTTGCCTCGCAACAATTTCTTGCACTTGCGAACAAAGCTTTTGTGTTCTGACACTTGCTTGTAAACACCCGTGCATTGCACACACGCTTTATGAGCATTCTTGTGTTACGACACTCGCTCTTTGAGTATATAGTGCATCGCACTCACGCTAAAGCATTAAGTATTACGACACTTGCTTATAAGCTTTAAGTGCCAAGCACTTGGCATTAATACCCTTTGTGTGTGCACGAACACTTGCTTTTACAGCACGAGGTGCCTTGTACTTGCTTTTACAGCACGAGGTGCCTTGTACTTGCTTTTAAGCATTACAGTGTTCACAAAAACTTGCTTTATAAAGCACTTGTCTTTATAGCGCTAGCTCCATCATGGATGAAGTAAAGCGTCTCGACATTTTTGGGGACAATAACAGTGACGTTTGGTCTACGGGCGGCGGAGCCGAGTCACCTTCGGGTCAAAGTTACCTAAGATCATCACGCTCACTGAGCGAGAGACATCGATTCCAATCTGTGTCTTCCCCTACAAGCTAGTCAACCCCCTTGCTCCAAGCGCCTCCTCTTCCCTCGCGAGTGGGTAGAGACGAAGAGGTTACCAATCTTCTTGACGATGCACAGCGCCGTCAACTCGATGACGAGGCCCGAGTGGCCGCTTTGACACGACCCAAACAAACGTTTTCACGACGTGATTATGGCTTCGTGCCCCGGAACCCTAAAGAGGCAGATCGACGAGGTGCATCGCAATCTTTGCGAGCCTATGTCATTGGGTCCCATGCCCGTACGGCTTGATAGAACGTAGATAGTGTTGCTCTTCGTGAGCGGCTCCTTACTCCCCAGGAGTTTACGATGAAATCGTATCAGTAGCGACTGTCACGACAGTCACGTGGGGTGCCCGTGCACCCACTAAACGGAATACCAGTGGTGCTTGCACCAGGTGAAACATCTGCACACGATGATCACCAGCTCACCCGTTGGGTAAAACGAGCATGTAAGCTCTCAAGTTTGTCTAACTTGCGCTTAAGCGCTAAAGCGCAAGACATTTGGTTAGAAAGTCGTCTACGTTTTAGCTTCGCTAAGTACAAAGCGAAACTTCAATTACCTTCCACATACAGTTCAAAGACTTGTGGGGAGCAAGCTTCTGAAGCTGTTGCCCGTACCTCTCACTCGACATTGGCTTCTTTTGATGGTCAGAAGCAAAGCCAGCCTACTGGCAATGCTTCCACAGAACCTAGTGCTAGGAAGCGTCCGACGGCAGCTGTCGTCGCTTCTGACCGTCCTGGTCAAAAGTGTCAACGGCGTCGGCGCAATCATGCCGAAGGGGTACATATACTCCCACAAGTCATACGACTGGGATAACTCCTCCACTTACCAAGTATTGAGTATTACCTGGTGACGACGCCGAACCAAAAGGCGTTCCACGTGGAACTGTTAATGACTTAGGTCGTCAATCATCGTCGGAGGAGGTCGATGACCTATTGACCTCTCATCTCTATGAGATTGAGCGTCGCTTGACGCTCCTGGAGCGTGATGCCCTGGCATCGGTGAGGTCTCTCCTATCATCGCTCGATTACCGTATCGATCGACACCGTTGCTCTTTTGAGCGTTATCGCTCTGAGACCTCGGATTGCTAAACGGCAATTGAGCGTTTTCAGGCCTAACAGCAATGTCAGATCGACCTCCTGGTACGCCTTCAGCGTCCATATGCACCTCCGGTGCAGTACTACCCGCCTCCTTCGGCCGGGAATACAAGGACAACCCCTCGACGTCCACCGAGGCAAGGTTTAGGTATGGCTTAAGTAAGCTCACATAGAACACAGGATGTGTTCTCATCTTCTTCGGAAGGTTCAGCGTATAAGCTAAACCTTTCTTGCCTATACCATGAAAGGTCCAATAAAGCGTCGCCGCAGTTTGGTGTTTACATAATGCAGACGCTGCACGAGTAGGTAACTTCCTAGCGTTTACATGAAACCAAATCTCCCACTTTGAACTCACTTTTGTTCTTCCTGCCTATGTCATCTGCGTGTTCCTTCTGAACATCCTGGCTTTTAGCCATAGCTTC